TTTTGTAAAGTCATAATTTACCTGTCAGTGCAGATTATTACAAATGAGTCCTGCTTGCCCATGTATGTTGAGGACTGTAAACATTGTGAGGAGATAAAAAGAATCTGCCTGCTTGCTCATAGAGTTAAAAGGTTTGCACTCTAAAGCAGTGCTGCTTATATAGTGAATAACTGAGAGATGCTATTTCTTTTTGGTTAAAATGACAATAATTTACACAATTTGGGGTGAGGGCCGACAGCATGTATTTCTCACAGGGTGCTACGTGATGATAACACTGCTCATCCAAGGAATATGTGCTGAATATCAGGGATTTAAAGTATTGTGATTCATATAAATTCACTGGAAATTCTTCCTTTTTAAAAAAGTATTTATTTTTATTGGAAAGGCAGATTTACAGGCAGGCAGAGGGAGAAACAGATTTTTGATCCACTGGCTCACTCCACAAATAGCTGCAATGGACAGAGGTGAGCCAATTTGAAGTCAGGAGCTTCTTCTGGATCTCCCACATGGGTGCAGGGTCCCAAGACTTTGGGCCGTCCTCTGCTGTCCTCCTAGGCCACAAGCAGGGAGCTGGATGGCAAGTGGGGCACCCAGGACATCGACCAGCACCCATGTGCGATGCTGGTGCTCGAAAGTGGTAGCTTAGTCAGTTGAGCCAATGTACCAGCCCCTGGAATTTCTTGTTCTCTAAAATCATTTTACTAAGATCTTCTAATTAAAAAAAAATTGTAAAATCTTAATGTTTTTGTGGATATGAACCTTGTTTAACAGAACTCATATTTGATGACCTGTTCCATCTAGCCTTTTAGTGATATCTAGTCTTGAAAGTCTCAAATCTTTTTTGCCTGTGGTTAAATTAATAACCTTAAAACAGTGCAATATGCAAAGTGTTGGATTTTTATCAACTGATATAACTACTTTTGGGAAGGAAGTGATAATTTACTGATATTTCACTGTATTTTTTCTCAGATGTATTACTGTGATAAAATTATATTATGCAAGTTGATATTTTTTATATATGTATACATTGTGAAATGAATAAGTTGGGTTTAGTGCCATATTGATCACCTTACATACTTTATTTTTTGTGATGAGAGTCTTTAGGATTACTAAGAGATTACTCTTAGTAATTTTCAAGTAAACGGCATATTATTATTAGCTATAATCATTATGTTCTGCTATCTTGCAGCTATTTTATTTATTTTTAAGATTTATCCATTCATTTGAAAAGCAGAACTATATACAGAGAGAGGGTAAGACAAACAGAACCTTCATCGGATGTCTCATTCCCTGAATGGCTTTAGTGACTGGAACTGGGCTGTTCTGAAGCCAGGAGTTTCTCTAGGTCTCATTTGGGTTTTATCTCAGGCACCTTAAATCTTTTTTTTTTTTTTAAGATTTATTTATTTTTATTAGAAAGTTAGATATACAGAGAGGAGGAAAGACAGAGAGGCAGATCTTCTGTCTGTTGAATCACTTCCCAAGTAACCACAGCGGCTGGAATTGAGCCTATCCAAAGCCAGGAGCCAGGAGCTTCCTCTGGTCTCCCATGGTGAAGGCACCTTAAGTCTTAAGAATGTGCTCCTTTTGGTTCGTGCGCTCTCATAGTCTGCAGATGACTTGCTACAGTGGCCACCCAGACATACTTGTTTTTTTCACAGATCTTGTTCCAGCCAGATCTGGGTACACATTCTTTGGATTTCAGGGGACCTATAACATTGGTCTGAGTTCCTCTACCATGTTCTCGCTCTCCCTGAAATCTGTAACTGTTAGCTAAACAAAGTGTTACGTTAATACCCACAAGTGGCCCAAGTTGTGATGTATCAGGCTAAGCCTCCACCTGTAACTCTGGCATCCTATATCAGTGCCAGTTCATGAACCAGCTGCTCCATTTCCAGTCCAGGTTCCTACTAATGTGTCTGCGAAAGCAGGGATAAGTGGCCCCAGTGCACTCGCACAGGAGTCTCACATGCAGCTCTGGATTTGTTGCTTCGGCCTGACCCAGTAGTGGTGATTTTGACCTTTTGGAAAGTGAAGCAGTAGATGGAAGAGAACTCTGTCTTTTCTCCTCTCTCTGTAATTCTGCCTTTCAAATAAATTTGAAAATACCGCATTGAAACTGCTGTGGAAGTTCAAAGGGGACAGAAATTAACTACTTGTCTGGAACCATGAAGAAAATCTTCATAGATTTAAAATGGGGCTTTGAAAACTTGATACTTTTGGGGCCAGCACAGTGGCTCAAATGGCTAATTCTCCACCTGCAAGCATCAGTATCCTGTGTGGGCACCTCTTTATTTCCTGGCTGCTCCACTTTCCATCCAGCTTCCTGCTTGTGGCTTAGGAAAGCAGCAGAGGATGGCCCAAAGCCCTAGGACCCTGAACCCTCATGGGAGACCCGAAGAAGCTCCTTGCTTCAGAAGGACTCAACTCCAGCCGTGTGGCCTTTGGAGGAGTGAACCAGTGAATGGAAGGTCTTTCTTTCTAACTACTTCTCTCTGTATATCTCTCCTTTTCACTGTAACTCTGCCTTTCTGATATAAGTAAATAAATCTTAAAAAAGAAAAAAGTAAATGAAATAGGCTTTTGTAGCTGATCCTGAGGAAACTATGGGCAAAACATGAAAACAAGAAAATAATGAGACATATTTTATGAAGGGTGATTACCTCACACGCTCTTCTTTTTTGAACTTGCGATTTACAGGATTTAGACTATTTGTGGGTGACCCTTGAAAAGCTATATAGTCATTTTCTTGAATTACTGATTTCTTTCCTTTGCTGAGAGCCTAGTATCTCAACAGAAATGAGGCTTGATAGAGACGGCCGTGGCATTCATCTTAGTGCATTTTTACTCTTCTATACACTCTCATTTTACCATGTTACCTGAAAGGACTCTTATTCTTACTAACAGTTTCAGATTTGTGAAGAAGTTGGTACATTCCCTCCTAGCTGCCAGAGATATACAGTATACTTGGAGTGACCACATAGTTTATTGAACCAAGTGAGGACTCTTTCAAGAGTAAAAGGAGAATGATACTGTTAACTCCAGGGCATAAACTGGTGCTTTGCGTACTTAAGCTGGAACTAATGGCCAAGTAGAATATGTTAGTCTCTAATTACAGTTTGTTTTATCTGAGGGTGAGAATAGGGTGGAGGGGGCAGTAGAACGTGGCTTAGCAGGCTAGTCTGTGAATGATCCTAAGTGTTCTTTGAGATATGCTCATATACAGTAAATAGAAAACCTTGAAGGGGATTTGATGTATCAGAGGAGCAGTAAGGAAGATTAACCTGGTCTCTGGGTAGGTTGAATTGAAGGAGTATACTCAGAGAATACTTTAATAGTTTGCAACCAGAGTGCATTTGTATGGTAACCACTGATCTTAATGTTCTAAGAAAATTTGTCTGAAAGTCCTGTACAGAGTTTTGATTATTTATTTCCAGTGTGTGTTATTGGTACTAAGTAGTACTTCAGAATAAGACCCTTTATTTAGATACTGATTCCTTGGAAAGAGAGGTAGTGAGGAGAATCAAGATGGCAGAATAGGGTAAGGACACATTTAAACAGACGGAGAAACATCAGCCAGTGTGAAGCAGAGAGGGCACATTCCAGGAAATAGGAGAGGACAGACAACAGCAGAGGGGTACCTGGAGATTGATAAACACACGAAAGCAGTGGACACAAGAGTGTGATGTTGCAGTGACTGATACCCAGCGGCATCCAGCAAGTGGTATCTGAATTGCGCTGGAAGCCAGAATTCCAGCAGCAACCAGGTGGGAAGGGCTTTTCACTACGAACTCAGGAGGTGAACTGAGTCTGATTTGACCAGGAGCAGAGACAGAGCTGCAGATCCCAGACAGGCAGAGTGGGAACAGGGTGGAGTTTACAACCCATTCTGCCCCCTAGAGCTGTGTTGGGCGCCATTTTGTTTAAGGAGGCAAGGGGCTATAGACAGTACTGCACATGCACTGAGCTGGTAGTGAACTCATTTCTGGCTCAGTGAACTGCAACAATGTGGCATCGTACACATTCCACCCAAGATTGGGTAGGTAGCCCTAAGACCTGACAGCCAGCAGATCAAGAACTCTAGTAGTGGTGTATCGGATGCCATTTGTACAATGTGGCAAGGACTTTGAGACTGTGGAGAAAACAGTGATCTGAGAATGTGCTGAGCTTGGCAAGAACTCAATGAGCTCATTACATTGCACTGGTCCCACAGGAAAATAATACTGACTGTGGCATCAAATGGGTCAAAATAGGTCCATATGGCCCTCAGACCTATTGGCTAACAGGTTTCAGCAAGATCAGCACCACCAACAACCTAGCTATATAGGATTCCTGGTGTCTTCCTAATCCCGGGACCTACTCCAACCAGAAGTGGGATATTTCAGTTTAAAATTTTATTTTTGTTTTATAGGTTGTAAGCTATAAATTTGATTTTTAGATTTTAGATACACTAAAGTAGAAACAACAACATTCTTAATCTTTTTAGGGATAATAATCTCTCAATGCATTATTTTCAGCAGTAAGTGAAAATGATATAAGTAGGACTTTTGGTTTATGCTTTGTAGAAAAGTCTTCCTGAATACATTGTTATTTTGTTCCATGTTAAAATTACAATGTGACAACAGACTTACCTTTGCTTTTATATTAATGCTTTCAAAACTGATAAGCTCCTGACAGGGTTTCTCTTGAGTGTGATGAAGTTGCTGAATGAATTAATTTAAAAGGGTGGGTAGATTCTCAGCTTTTTAGTTGTCTAAATGCAATTTCTTTTATATACTTCGAAGTATTGAAATCTTATTTGATCACTTTCGAACCAGAGAAGTTAACATTTTTGCTATTTCATTTAACTAGTGAGGGGTTAGAATGCATAATAAAAATTAAAACCATTTTATGGATGATTTTTTAAGTCATGATAGTTCACCTGTATTAATTTCTTTTTCTATGCTATGCTTTGTCTTTGCTGGACACATTTATTGATTATATTCCTCTTAAATTTCTAGGTAACTTGGGCTTTTACTCCAGTAACAACTGAAATCACAAGTCTTAATACAGAGAATATAGATGAAATTCTAAGTAAGTACCTTGATATTTTCAGTAGTTTTCTATAAAGGAATCAAAACTTCAGTTTGCAAGCGTAGTTGGAGAACTAGTATTGGAACATTTTTACTTTTGATGCTTAATAAATTTCTTAAAAAGTGTCAAGTCTTCCATGTTGTGTGGCAATACTTTGTCTTTTTGATTTTTTTCCTGTAATACTGATGGCATTCTTAATTCCCAAGTCCTTATACTGAAGTCTGTTTAGAGGAATAGTTCCTACTGTGAAGTATTAAATGTTAGTGATGTTAAAAATCAGCCGCAGCTTCTATTTGCAAAATCACCTTTTTGATCCCTTATTGCTACTGGTCCAATTAAGGTCACTTATGTCTAAATTTCACTCAATTCTGTGCTGACAGTGTGATTACAAGTACAATTAATTTGGGGAAACTATTTTTTGTTTTTAAAAATAGTGAAGAGAAAATGAAGATTTGGTTGATAGACTATCACCATTTAGGATCTTTAAGAAAATATGCATAAATTCATTTCTTTAAAAGCACTTTGTTTCATGTAATAGTTTGTATGTATGAGTTTTAATATTAAATGAATATCATAAATTCCTCTGTGATCATGAAACTTTAAATTCCAAAAGTCTATTTCTATTGTAAAAGGTTTCTTTAGAGTGATTTTATAAACTTTACTATGTATCAGAATCACCTAGAGAGTTTATTAATATCTGTACTGCTTGTACTGACCCCCGTTCCTATAAAAATGCTAGTCGCTACCTCTAAGAATTTTCATGAGTTTCTAGGTGATGTTGAAGCTTCAGATCCAGGAAGTACAGTGTATTAACCACTGCTTTAGGCTGAATAAAGATGTGCCTGAAAACTTGTAGAATACATACATATATGTATGTGTGTGCATATGTATGTATGTATTCTCTCTCTCTCTCTCTCTCTGTGTGTGTGTGTGTGTGTGTGTGTGTGTGTGTGTGTGTACACATTGAGCACTTACTTTCTGAGTGTAAGTTTCCCTGGGTTAAATTTATATACAACAAACAGAGCTACATTTTTCTCTTGTTTCAACATCCTGAAATGCAAATGATACTAAGCTACTTTTGAAACAGAGAATAACTGTTCAGTGGCTGGGAACCAGAAAAAGTGCAATTTGTGCAACAGTATCTGTTTTAAGTTCCTTATTTTAAGGATTTGGGATATCTGAGGTTTACAAATAACTTATACATGTCTCCTTTATGAAATCTAATTTTACTTGGGAAGTTAATCTTCAGTTATTCACAAATATGGAAGAACAAAAAATGAATTATTTAAATCCAGATCATTGTGTTTCAGTTTCTGTGAGGGTGGACTATGTCATAGCTTATTTCCTGATTTGGACTGGAATTCGCTTTTGCTTTATATTTATGTAAGATGCAGTGAAGGTGTCAAGATGGCAGATTTAGAGAAAAGGGACAGGGCCTGCCAACGTTGTTAAGCTGTTCGTGGCTCTGTGTAGGGATTTCTGAGTGAAAAGGAGCTTAATTGTTACTGTGTTAATTGTTGATGTCAATTATGTAGACACAAATAACTTGGCTTATTTGGATTTGTTTTCCAATTTCAGATAATGCTGATGTTGCTTTAGTAAATTTTTATGCTGACTGGTAAGTAAGCATTTTCTTTTCTTTCTTTCTGTCTTTTTTTTTTTTTTTTTGGCCTTTTTTGGCATTACTTAAATTTTATTTCTCTTAATTTGCTATAGGTACATTCTTCTTTAAGGGGATTGCAAACTTTTTTTTATAGCAAGACAGCATTCCAGATACTATGCAGTTAAGGTTCATTTACAAATGAGGTATCTTAAAGTGTTTAAGATGCCTGTGTTAAAAGAAAAATGTAGCTGATCCTGTCCTTCACATCTTAAAATAAAAATTGTTAACATAAATATTCGTAAAACTTCAAGTAACACTCGGAATAAAAAAATGCATGTTGCAATTCTGCACGTATTCTGATTGCTGAAAGAAGGCAGAGCTTGGAGGTCTGGACTTCAGATCCCATGTTTAAGAAGGAAAAACAGTGCAGACAGTGGATTAATTACACAGTCTACCACCATCTACCACATCTTCCGGGATATTCTTCCTCCTACTGAATCAGATTCTGTCTTCTGTGCTTATGGAATACTCTATGTACCACTTTTTTCTCCTTTCCTATTTTGTGTTTTGTGTTTGTGCTCTAGCAAACGAACTTTGATGGTAGCAATAATGTCTTATCACTGACAACATCCAGAACAAAGATAGTACATGTGATAGATGTTAAATAATATGGAACAAATGTAGGGGGAAAAAAAGATTTAGCTAGAAAGTACTGATTGGCAAAATCTTTTAGATCTCCGTTCTTTATGCCTCAGGGTAAACCAGAGTTCATTCCCGTAGTGAACATTAGATTAGTTTACATTTCCTGTTAAAACCCTTATACCTCTTAAAATGGTCCTCCATTAACTTTTTTTAGATTTATTTTTATTGAGAAACAGAGTTACAGATGGAGAAGGAGGGCACAAAAGGAGAGAGATCTTCCATCCCAAAGGTTCACTCCCTAAATGGCTGCAGTAGCTGGAGGTGGGCCAGTCCAAAGCCACGAGCCAGGAGTTTTTTCTGGTCTCCCTTGTGAGTGCAGGATTGAAAGCACTTGGGCCATCCTCTGCTGATGCCAGCGCTGCAGGCTGAGGATTAACCAGCCCTGGCTCTCCTCTATCTTCAAGTTGAGTTTTACGTCCCTCACTCTGGTTTAGAAAGCTGTTCATGATTGGTTCTCTTTCCTGCCTCTGTAGCCATCTCTTTTGCCTCTGCATTCCCACATTCTGCTCATTATATTGAGCATTTTCAATTCCAGTCGATTCTATACTCTTCCACCTCTGGACTGTTAGTCATACTTCTTTTTTTCCTGCCTGATACACTCTTTGTTCTCTCTTGCTTCTTAGTTAAGTCCTAATCATCTGTAAGCTTTTAGGTTAGTTGTCAGTTTCTTCAGATCATCTTTCTAGATTAATACGGTATGTACTCAAAATAGCATTTTCCAAAGTAAATTAGCATGGCCTAGAAATAAAAGTTGCCACAAGTTTGATAGCAGATTATGTAATCCAGTTCACTTTACAAATAGTACGTGAACAGAGACTCAAAGGAGTAGAATACTTTTCAAGGAGTACCTGACTAGATTATATCTGAGAATCAGAATACAGTTGTCTATCTGAGGGATTTTGTGTTGTAAGAGTTACAGATTGTGTTACTGACTGTTGCGCAGCCTGAATTGGAAACGATTGATTGCACTTATTTAAAAATACCCATAGTTAAATTATAGGTAAAAAAAAAAAACTATGGGTAAAAAAAAATACCCATAGGACTTAATTAAGAAAGCATGAGAGAACAAAGAGTGTGTTTTGCAGGAGAAAAGAATACCTTGGGTTTTCTGTGATTTTTCAAGCACTCTTTCATTCAGCTAAAGAAACTTGGGTAATTGGCAGTAAGACATAGATTGTATGGCCTCAAAGGCTAGATTCTGAGCTTCTCATAATTTAATGAAATGGGTGTATCACAGATTAAGAATTCTCTGAGGGCTGCCTTAAAAATATCCCTGTTCCTTAGAGAATAATAAACCATAGTTAGTGCTTAAAAATTATGTCAGACTCTGACTATGTGTATAAATATTGTTCTTAATGCTCAGAGCTGCCCTGCAGGAAAGGTGTTATAGTTTCCGTTTGAGGTTGAGGAAGCTGAATCTCAGAAAGATAAACGGCTGGTATGTGGTAGGACTGGGATTGCGTCTCAGTTATGTCTAACTCCAGAGCTTACGTTCTTAGATTTCTCTTACGGGGTTACATTAGTAAGCATCTCCAGAATCCCTCTAAAGTCCTTTCCTTTTTCTTAATTTTCTCCTTTTCTTCTTCTCTTTTTTCTTAATCTATATGATTGATTTATTATGTATTGATGTAAGTGCTAGATTGAGTTCAGATAACCCCAAGTCCCTTTTAACAAACTTACAGCTTTTATATTGTTACTTTTATAAGTGCACCATTCCTGTGTGTGCAGTTATGTATATGGAGGTATAGTATTGCTATGATTGAATTTTTGTTTTATTTGCTTCTTTTGTCTTGGAGTCTTAAAGTAGCTGTAAACATGGACCTGTGCTTTAATAGGGACTGGCAGCAAACTGAACATTCTGGAGAGAAGGCACACTTGATGTGTGCTTTACCTTGCCCTTGGCCTAAAAGCCCATCCACTAAGTCTTTAGTAGGTCCTTTCCATGTTACTCTTACTTATAGATATAATAAATCTTTGCTCTGCTTCTCCCTGCCCTCAGTTTTCAGAAAATTGTAAGAATCCACAAACTTGGGGTCCTGGCCTTTCCAGTTCCTTTCATTTATCAATTTATTCATTTAACAGAACATCTAATAAATGCTTATTAGAATACATGGTCGTATTAGATATAGTCCATAATGTCTACAGGCCATTTATCCCAGATGGGAGAGTGTTAAGAATGTTAAAAGAGGGGCCTGGCAAGGTAGCCTAGTGGCTAAAGTCCTTGCCTTGCACATGCTGGGATCCCACAAGGGCACCAGTTCTAATCCCAGTAGACCTGATTTCCATCCAACTCCCTGCCTGCCTGTGGCCTGGGAAAGCAGTTGAGGATGGCTCAAAGCCTTGGGATCCTGCACCCATTTGGAGACCCGGAAGAGGATCTGGGCTCCTGGCTTCAGATTGGTGCAGCTCCACCCATTGCAGCCGCTTGGGAAGTGAATCATTGGACAGATCTTCCTTTCTGTCTCTCCTTCTCTCTGTATATCTGACATCCCAATAAAATTTTTAAAAATAAGAAGTAAATTTAAAAAAATGTTAAAAGAGGAAGGAGCCACTTGAAAGCGACACTTTGAAGATACAGATTTTTGTCTCGATACGCGTCTTTGGAGGTCAGGTGAGTGGGAAGTAGGGAGGAAGTAGAATAGTTGCATCGTTTCACAGATTTTATGACGTTTCTGTTGGATCATAAGTATTGTGATTGACCTAGTTATATGTTGATTAAGGAGTTTACAGGCTTCCTTTAAGTAAATTCCTTGATGGAAAGTGCTCTAGAAGGAGAAGTAATTCTAGGTTTCTTGTAAACATGCACCCTCAGTACCTTTCCTTATGATAATGCCTGTTCCAACCTAGCTGGTTACGTACTAATTCTGATGTTTTCTTTCTTCTCATTGTCCTTTAATAATTTGCAACATATGTTTATGAATAGCTGGTCTGGTTAAGGGATGGTCAGAATTAGAAGCAATAAGTTTTTGAAATATTATGAGATCTGTGCCCTTTTATAAAAGTAAATAATAATTATGTTTTTTAAAGAAAATATAGGTATTCTTGTTTAGTATTAAAATATTTGCTTCCGGACTTGCTATCATTAATATATTTGTATACTGATTGTATGTTAATATATATAATAATTAGTATATGATATATGCTATATTTGCCAATTTTAAGGGCAAATTTTGAAGTGACATATTTCATTATATACTATATATTCTTTAAATACAATGTGTTTTCTATGCTGAGTTGTCTGAGATTTGATTGAACTGGCCAGATTGATCTAATATTTGCAGTAATCCTAAATGATATTTGTACAGTAGTCTATAAAGATACTCGTAGAGAAAGCTGATTTTTTTGTGAGTGCTGAAACCTCAATAAATAATTCACATCCTAGGGGTACGTTTTAGAGGGCATATTTTGGATTTGTTTTAGGGCCTCTGAAAGATAATGTATTATATTAACACAATATTGGCTATTTTCATAAAGTGGAAAAAAACCCCACAGTTCTTGTAATCTGTAGTTTTTAAATTCATTCTTCATTTGATGACATTAGGGTTGATTGTCACTCAAAGACAATATGTATTGTGTATGTACCAAATATCAATGGGTAATAACTGAGAGAAGGTCTTATTACTTGTGCTTTTGGCTTCTTATTGGTATCCTTGTCTGTGTATAGGTGCCGTTTCAGCCAAATGTTACATCCCATTTTTGAGGAAGCTTCCGATGTCATAAAGGAAGAATATCCAAGTCAGAATCAAGTGGTGTTTGCCAGGGTTGATTGTGATCAGCACTGTAAGTACCTGACCAGGAAGTCTGGATCAGCTGTCGCTTCCTTACCACCCCTACCTCCAACCCACACGTCTTTCTCGTGGACAAACTCTGAAAGTTCTAGGAATGTTGATTAATTTGGTAGAATTTAATATACTTACAGCAAACTTACCATTCTGCCTGTGTGAATTGGTTTTGTTGCTTCTTTACATTGAAATGTGCTATATCATGCATATCGGTAGAAAACCAGAACTTTTTTTTTCTGAGAACACATACAAAAATTAAGAAGGTTTTAGAAGAAAAAATGGATTTCGACTAGTTGTAAAATCATGCAGAAATACAATCTTGTAGTCATTTCAAGTCAGTCAGATTTTTGTATGTTCTCTGATATTTTAATAATTCTGCCAAGATTGGCCTTTTAAGCTGTTTGTGAAGTATAATTAACTGTAGATACTGATTTTTATTAATTAGACAGATTATTCTCTGGAAAATCTTCATACTTCTCTGTGTATGTGACACATTTGTCTTCACTGAAGTTAGTGAGCTATAAATTATGCTTTGTTCTGAATACTCCTGTTCTTCAACTTTCTTCTTAGTATCACAGTTGTTGTATTTAGTGGCATTTGCTTTAGTTGTAGTATTTGGTTTATTGTGGCTTAGTTGTCATCAGTTGCATTGTGAGCTCTCCGAAGCAGGATTTTTTCCCCTCTTTTCTATGCTGCTTTTTAAGTGGAGACCGAGGTGCTCATTAATCTCTGTCTCAAGCCCCTTTCAGTTTCCGGGAGACAGAGACTACGCATTAAAAGCTTATTGCATTGAATTACTGATCAGTTGGCCTAAAAGCAGAGCTAGCTTCCATTCTGCAAATTTCCTGTCCTTTCTGATTAACCTATCAATTAGAATTGGTTTGTGGATACACATAACTTTATGTTTCATTGATGAGAAAGTGGAAATGAAGTCACTTAACTAATGTTATCTAGCTTAATTTCTAATCAGGCTGGGATTGGAATCCTGTCCCCCTGGCCAAAAGCTTTCACAGAGCTATTTGCTTCTTTTCTGTTCTGTTAAATAAAAATTTGGGGAATTTACTAGTATAGCCTTGTGCTAGACAGAATAACATTTTTTTAAATCTGTAATTAAAAAATCATTTAAAAAGTATATAGAAGGCCTGGCGCGATGGCACAGTGGTTAAGGTCCTCGTCTTGCACGCCCGGGATCCCATATGGGCGCCGGTTCTAATCCCGGCAGCCCCGCTTCCCTTCCAGCTCCCTGCCTGTGGTCCGGGAAAGCAGTCGAGGACAGCCCAAAGCTTTGGGACCCTGCACCCGCGTGGGAGACCCGGAAGAGGCTTCTGGCTTCTGATCGGCATAGCACTGGCCGTTGCGCTCACTTGGGGAGTGAATCATGGGATGGAAGATCTTCCTCTCTGTCTCTCCTCTCTGTATATCCGCCTTTCCAATGAAAAAATAATAAAAATAAATCTTAAAAAAAAAAAAGGTATATAGAGACCAGTGAGCAGAGAGATAGAAATCCCCAATGCCCTGGTTCACTTGTCAAATGCTCCCAAAAGCCAGGCCAGGACCAGGCCAAAGTCAGAAGTTCCCCATGTGGCTAGCAGGGATTCAAAGTACTTTGAGTAGTCAGGCACCTGCTGACTCCCAGGGTGTGTGTTAATGGAGCCAGAGCTTGAACCTGGGCCCTCTGATATGAGCTGTGGGTATCCCTTAACAGCTGCTCCCAGGAAAACATTTCAGAGTCTTCTCAGTCATGCCCTGTATTCTGTCTGCTAAGACTCGTAGCCAGACAGGGTGAAAGAGCAATCAAAGGTTGTCAGCACAGCACAGATTGTACTTCCACGCTGCTTTGGGTCTTTCCTCCTACTTCTTGCTGACAGGGAACATGATGTTTCTGGTGTAGGTTCTCATTTCAGATTTTTCTGTTCTTTATGTGTTTAATTAGGAATTACAGTACAGGTAAGAGTTTTTCTTTCACTGAATTTAAACCCGAAAATATGAAATTATATTCTCATGCTTCCAGTTATTTGGGAGGAAGTTTGATATTCGTATTGTTGAGTCATAAATATAATTTGTTTATGTATTAAACAGATTGACTTTTGAAATAAAACTGATATCAATGCTAGTAAGATTTCTTTTTATGGGAGCCAGAAGCAATAGTTTCAGAGTTGTTACTAATGAAAGTTAGATCAGATATTGTGTATTCTCTAAATATTTCAATGTCTTAGTTAATCTTTCTAAAAGATGGCATTTGAAACCTTTATTGATGATTTATTTAAGCTTTTTGCATTCTGCTAGAGTTTGTAAAGTAGATTGTATTTTGTTAACCTCTTCTGTGCTAGTAGGATTATAGAGATTTTGAACTGGAAGGAGTCCAGTGGAAGGGATGATACAGCAGGTTAAGCTGCCACCTGGGACACCCACATCTCATATCACAGTGCCTGGATCTGATTCCCACTGCACTTTCCATCCAACATCCTGCTAATAGGCACTCTAAGAAACGACAGGTGATAGTTTAAACTCTGCTACCCACATGGGAGACCTAATGGAGTCCCAGGCGCCTGGCCTGGCCTGGCCCAGCTCTGTCTGTTATGGGCTTTTGGAGAGTAAACCAGCAGGTGGAAGATTGCTCTGTTTCTATCTCTGTCTTTTTAAATTTATATGTCCTGTATATGAATGCCTAATAGGTAAATTGTCTTTTGTTAGGATTTGGGTTTCTTAAAAAGAGATTATGATTCACAAGTTTAAATGATACTGTATATATATTGGTACATATATAAAACGACAATCAAGATATTGAATATACCTGTCATCCCCTGGATACTCCTGTTGCCTTTTTGTGTCCCTCCCCCCCCCACCCCCCCCCCGCCAATTCTCAGAGCACCAGTCTCTTGTTCTAAATTAGCTTCTATTTTCTAGAATTTTATATAAATGCAGTCATATAGTATATGTTCTCATTATATCTGTAGTTTTATTTGTTTGTTTCTTTATTTAGCAGGATTATTTTGAGATTGTTCCACACTGTGTGTAACATTCATTTTTGTTATTTAGTGGCATTCCGTGGTGTAGCTGTATACCCCAATTTATGCATTTACCTAGTAGGATTATTTCCAATTTTTGACTATTACAAATAAAGCTGTGTGGACATTCAGGTCATTGTACTTATGCTTTTATTTGATGACAAATACCTGGGTGCAAAATGCCTGAGTCATATGGTAGGTTTGTGTTTACCTTTTTAAGACATAAACTCTTTTGTACTTATACTGTTTTACATATCTGTAGTTAGTGCGAGGGAATTTTACTTCCATATTCTTGCCAACACTTAGAATGTTCATTTTACATACTCTAAGTGTGGGATGCAGTGTGGGATGCTGGTTTTGTGTGTGTGTGTTTTAGTTAGCATTTTTCCTAATAATTAGTGATGTTGGGAATACCTTTGCATATTTATGTGACATTTGCACATGGCTAGGTAAGCCACCTATTCAAACCTTGCATATTTAATTAGATTGTTTCTGTTGGATTTGATTTATCTAGTATGAATATATGGCCTCTTTCAGATGTATTATTTGCTAATATTTTTCCCATTCTATTCATTTGAAAGTACCTCATTTTTTATTTATGGTTAAATACATGTAAAATTTACCATCTTAACCATTTTTTAAAAAGATTTATTTATTTTTATTGGAAAGGCGGATATACAGAGGGGAGGAGAGACAGAGAGGAAGGTCTTCCGTCTGATGATTCATTCCCCAAGCAGCCGCAACGGCTAGAGCCGAGTCAATCCGAAGCCAGGAGCCAGGAGCTCCTCTGGGTCTCGCACGTGGGTGCAGGGTCCTAAGGCCCTGGGCTGTCCCTGACTGCTTTTTCCAAGCCACAAGCAGGGAGCTAGATGGGAAGCAGGGCCGCCAGGACTAGAACTGGTGCCCATATGGGATTCTGATGTGTTAAAGACGAGGACTTTAACCACTATGCTATCACGCTGGGCACCATCTTAAACATTTTTAATTGTACAGTTTTAGTAGTGATAAGTTATTCACATTGTTGAGGACTCAATCTTAAAATGTTTCCATCTAGAAAAACTGAAATGATACACCCATTAAACAACAACTTCTCGTTCCTCCCTCCCCAACCCCCTGAAGAACACTGCTCTACTTTCTGTTTGTTCTTTGACTATTGTATGCTGAACTTTTGTGACTAGCTTTTTTCACTTAGTGTAATGTCCTCAAGAGTCACCTTTTTTTATTTTAACTTATTTCTTTGTTTTTTATGATACAGTTCCATAGGCACAGGGATTTCCCCTCTAATCTCCTCCCTTTGATTTCCCCTATTTTATTACAATAGTATAATCCTTCAACAAGACTTATGAATATAACATTCTGCTAAAGGGTCTGTCATGTCATTGTTGGTATAGACACTGGTAGACAGGCTAGTATATTTTAATCATTTCATTAAGAGTCCTCTTATTCAGAAGTAGAGATGCATACTGCAGCATATCTTCTCTTCCTGATAGGCTAGTCTTCATTATACAGTTTATCTATGAAAATATATGTGTATAAATGTTTACTTATGTATCTATCTTACTTATTTTGCATGAAGGTTGCCTTGTATCAGAGAGAAAAGATGACATTTGTCCTTTTGTGAGCGGCTTATTTCACTGAAAATAATGGTTTCCAGTTGGTACCATTATGTTGCAAATGGTAGAATTTCATTTTTAATGCAAGAGTAATATTCCATGGAGTAAATTTACCAAATTCATGTTGTTTGAATTTTCTTTTGAAGGGACTAGTGTTGTGGCATAGTACATTAAACTGTTGCCTGCAACACCAGTATCCCATATGGATACCAGCTTGTTATATGGATAACAATGTCCTCGTTGTTCTGACTCCCTGCTAAATGGCTTGGGAAAAGTAGCACAGGATGCCCTGAGTACTTGGGCCTGTGGTACTCATTTTGGAGATATAGGTGAAGCTCCTGGATTCTGGCTTTGGTCTGGCACAGTACTGGCTGTGG